ATTTAGGAATCTAAGGAATAGTGAAATAAAAGCCAGTAAACGCCAGTCTTCTAGTTTACTGTTTTAATAAATAGTACGGCTGGATTATTTTACAATGCTAATTTAAAATAATTAGATTATTATACTTATTTTCAGTAAAACCGAAGCTTAGAAATGTAGGAGCTTTAAAAATGTAAATTAAAAATAAAGAATCAATATTAATTTACAATAATAAACATTTATAATTCTAATAAAAACAGATTATTGTTATTTTCAGTAGAAAATAGTAAATGCACATAGTGTAGATTGGTCTATGGAGAATACATTGTGATGTCACAAGCTTTGCTCCACCCGTTTATTGACGTCATTTAGCCATGGCTCAGCCTTTGTGATTTTGTTTATGCAGCGTATTCTGAGCTTTTACCCAGAATAATGTATAATTTAGCACTTTCGCAAGAATAAACACCATATTTACCAAATATAAAGCAGAAAACTGGAAGCGCATCAAAACGCACACATCAATGGCGGCTGACATACACAGAACTAGGGGGGTATCTGATCGCCTTCGACCTTCGAACCTCTAACTTGCGTTGATTAATGGAGATATAAGGTATTTTCTCCCTCCTTTCAGCATACCTTCGTGGTGTAACAGTTAGCATACTCGGCGCGTATTTGAGAGGTCCAGGCTCGAGTCCCGGCGAAGGTATTGCTCATTTTTCATCTCTTCTGCTTCAAACATAACCTAATGATTCTACAGTGGCACCCTAACTAAAAGGTTGTGAATGATGATTCTTTACCACTAGGATTTGGCGATTGAGTTCCCTAATTACCAGTCGCATTTTAAAAGGGGGAGTATATAAGGTATTTTCTCCCTCCTTCCGGTATATACCTCTGTAGGGTAATGGTTAGCACATTCGGTGCGTATTGAAGAGGTCCAGGTTCGAGTTGGAAAAGTCCTAATGTCTCTAGAGTGGGACACTAATTCGCGCTTATTCATTGAGGCAAGAAGTAAAACGATAAAATCATGAGCATGAATCCCAGTAAGGATGATAATCCAAATAAAAAACCATTTGCGTAAATGAAGATAATGATAAATTTGCTTTGGAACACTGTACGTTTACTTTAAGAACAGATGAGCTGCGATAATTTTCATGTACATTAAATTCATGTACTTTGATTTTTGAATCGTTTTTGCAGATATTGAGACAGAATATCTGAATAGTGCGCGATATTCCACAGAGTCGTATACCTCACACATTAAGATGGGGAGCAGTTTAATAGAAAGAAATTGGTTATTCATAGGCTGGAATGATAAATGATAGAAAGAGATTGGTGAAACTGAAATTTTTAGCATGTCTACAAATTCAAGAAAACGAATTTCTGATTACAAGCTTGTTAAAAATTATTATAACAAATGTTTTCTGAAACAAAGGGCCAAGAGAAGCTAGCAGCTGGAGACTGATCTCACATTTGTATTTTTTGTACGTTCTATGGAATCAGATATAAGACAGATAGACTAATATGTCAGGCTTGTATGTCGCATGGAGCTTTTATGTCACATCCGGAGAGAATGAAAATGATACTCACAAGTGATTCCGGGTGTCCTCTAAATTTTAGTTTAGTAGTTTCATACTGTGGAGAACGAAAACGTATGCTATACAGCTACCCGGGAAGCATATTTCACAAGTGCACATCTGTGTAGCTACCGAGGGAGTGGCTTCTAGGATGGACCAATGAGCGTCCAGTAATATTTCTGTCATGCCACATGAACTTTCGCGTGCTTTGAGATTTAAGCAAGATGGTTGAAAATATTCTGCCAAGCAATTTTCTGTAAAAAATAATTAAAGGATCCTCGATTGCTTCTGAAACTTTGCATTGCGAAGTTAGATCAAATATAGGCAATTATGAAGATTTCACTACCTGTTTGAAATAAATACAAACACATGTTGGATACTTCGCAAAAATATCGATGTGAAATATTACTTAATAAGTGGTAAATAAGATGAAGAAAGAAATATGTGATAAACATCTGAGCCCAAATGCAATCTTTGTATAAAACTATTTGTATGAGAAAAATATTTTCATCAGTTATGTATGTAAATAGAAGTCAGCACTTTTTATTGCAGTCTATATGAAAAAGATGTTCTATGCTAATAACCAATGCAGAATTTTAGTCAAAGTGAAATTTACTAATTTGCATTCGTATACATTTAGTGTCTTAAATTTCACATTTAATAACTGCTCACTCTTAAATGTACTGTCTACACAAGAAATACTCATCAAACAGAGTGAATTTATCTTATTCACAACGAGTATATTCAATTTATCCGCATATAACCTTTAATGTTAACAATGGATATGATCAGATTATATGTATTCTGAATCTTACACTTTAAAAATCAAAAGAATGCACTGAAATAAGAAAACGCTAAATTTATTGTAAAACTTTCACTCATTCTCATCTCAATTAAATAAAAATATACACTTGAATTCTCTTAATCCACATAATATGCCGTAAACATTAATCAAAATATTAATGCGTGATAAAAATCTCGAAAGTGAAATGTCAGCGATTAATTAAACTCAGAAAACGAAAGCACTACAAGATTTCTACTATTACTCAGCATGCCATATATTTATAACCATATATTATTATTTATTAACCATATATATATTATTATGCCATATATTTATTATTCTCAGCATGCCATATATTTATAACTGCGAAACAAATGCAAATTAAAATGTAAACAACATACGTCACAAGAGCAATAGCAGCTCATTGGTCCATTTCCGAAACCCCTCCCTCAGTGGCTGCGCAGATGTGCACTTGTGAAATATGAATCCGGGACCTTCTCGTGTGTGTGTGTGTGATTATAGCAAAGCCTCGAGGGCTATCTGCCTAATGGGAGGAATGCCTTCGTGGAGGACATTCTAAGGGAAACTGGCTCGTATACACGTTACACATGGGGAAAACCACGAAAACGCTTATGTAGCCAGCCCGTTCGCGGGATTCGAACCTTAGACCGAACTACCAGTGTTCAGTGACTTTACCGCTCGGCCGCTGGTGGGCCGGGACCTTCTCGAAAGGGACATAACACAAAAAATTGTATCCTGATTTGGGTAAGAATAAATTTGAATACCTCTACGAGATCGGTGTATTTTTTTGGTAGATCTGATTGAACTAATTATTGCCCCAATAGATGAGCTTATTTGATCATTTGCTCTAAAGTAAATGTCTAAGTAATCAAATGCAAATCTTAAGTTACTTATTTAATGATATAGGCTAAGTGGTGAAATTACAATCATCCATTACTTTGGGAGCCACGAAACGTAGAGAATAAACTAATTTGTAAATTCTAATTTGTAAACTAATTTGTAAATTCCAACTGAAAACCTTCATACACTCTTTCGAATGTCAGCGAATTTCAGCAGGTGTTAAGACGGGCATAGGTTTCACTTTACAGGTTCTTCTCCTGCCTTCTCAGCATGCCTTCGTGCTACAGTGTGCCAGCACACTCTGCGCGTATTCGAGAGTTCCGTGATTGGCGTTCCGGTTAAGACATTGCTCATTTTTTTATCGCTGCCGCTTTGAAATAACGAAATGTCTCTACAGTGGCGCCCAAAAAGGGACTCGAACCTCGGATCTCTCGAATAGGCGCCGAGTATGCTGACCACTACACCACGAAGGCATGCTAAGAAGGTAGGCGGAGTACTTTATAACTTTAAAGAGTCTGCTATTTTGACATAATGGGGAGAATGTATCAAGCCTGCGTTCCTATCACAGATGAATATACTCCATATCAAACTCTTTTTTAATAAATTATGTTAGTATCTCTTTTCTTACTGATTTTTACTTACTTACTTACTTTCTCATACGTACTTACTTAATTAATCTCTTACTTACTTTATCTCGTACTTGCTTACATAAGCTCTTACTTACTTACTTTATCTGTTAGTAACGTGATTTCTAAAGACAACTTTTTTAAAAAATGCAAAACTTAATAAAAACAAATGAAATGAATAAGGTACACAAGAACTTAAAATCTATGTTTTTAGTATTTGGGCAGTAATATTAATATTATTTATCAGATGGAAAAATTTATGCAATCATCACGTTAGCAAGCTCCAGAAATTGAAAAGGAACGCTATTTTTTCAAACCCTTGTAACCTATAGGATCGTGCACTGAATTTTTAGGTAATCGACTGTTAATAACAGAATATGAGCTTACTTCTTGTGAATTAAAATGATGTTTATATTATAAGGTATTTCTCCTGCCTTCTTACCGTGCCTTCGTAGTGTAGTAGTCTGCACACTGAGAGCGTATTCGAGAGGTCTGTGATTCGATTTCCGGCGAGGGCATTGCTCATTTTTCAAGTCTCTTTCTTCTAAATAAGCTAATGACCGTACAGTGGCTCCCGAATTAGAAAAGGTGGTGGATGACGATTGTCCACTACCGGAATTTGGTGATTGGGTCCCCTAATCCCCAGTCGCCCTTTAAAAGGGGGAGTATATAAAGTATTTCTCCCACCTTCTTAGCGTGCCTTCGTGATGTAATGGTCTGCACGCTCGGCGCTTATTCGCGAGGTCCGTGGTTCGACTCCCAGTGAGGGCATTGCTCCTTCTTCAAGTCTCCTGCTTCTAAATAACCTAATGACTCTGCAATATTAGCTCTTTAAGTGACCAAGAAAGAGTTTTATCATGAAGTTTTATTAAGAGTTTTATCATTGCTTCTGCACTGTTTCTCTTTTGCTTCACATTTATCTCTTCATGGATCTGAGCATGATGCTAAATTTTACTATTTGAGGCAATATATATATTGTTTGAAAGCTATTATATTAACAAGGCATATTTTTCCATATAATTACTTTCAAATATTGCAAAAATTTCTAGACTTCTTTGCAATTCAAGGCCATTTCGGAAATCAGGCAGTTTGTTATTGTAAGATTGCTTCGTCAGTATTTCATTCATAGTGTTGCAAATAATCACAATGTACGTATGGTACGTGTGCCTAATAATGAACCAGTAAATTAAATTTCTTGTATTTAACTTTAATAAAATAAACAAATTAAAAATAATAACTCAAAAGTGTTTTACATAAGTGATTGTTTTCAACAACCTTATAAAATGCATTATCTGTAAAATTATTACAGTATTCAGACCTAAATTTACAAATAAAAATCTAAGATTATTTCCTATTCTCATATCAAATGATATCTCATTATCAAAGGAAGATATATGTTGCGATCTTCGTTTTTAGTCTTCTATTCTGTGGCGTATTAATTGAACTTTTGCAATAGAATTCCTGACACAAACGGGAAGTCTAAAATTTGTCAGCTTGTTTAGAATTTCCTCAAAAAGTGCTCTAGAAGATGGGCCACACATCCTTTCAAGATCGTGAAATATGCAGTGTGAGGTTAAGGCCAAGATCCTAAATAAAGAGAAATGAGATATTCTACTTAAACACCATTTCATTTACATATTTATTTGGTAAGTCAATAATGAAATATACTGTTTTCAAAACAAGTCGTGTTATTTATTTATTAGCCAAACGAGTCAACAAGAGAGGAATTGGTCTTAAAAATATGAAATAGAAATACTTTGGAAAAAGCTTTAATTAAATGCAGTTTATATCAGTTATTTTAGCTTTTACGTATCCCGATATTTTATTTCGCAATATTTATTATTCATGTTAAATTAACAACATTATTCTGATATTTACATATCATGAAATTAGCATCAGTTTACTTGTAATACAATAAATTTTACACAGTGATGCAGAACAATGCGAGTCAAAAATAATGTTAGACTGTATTATGATACAAGTTTTCGCCTCATAAATTTATTTTTAATCAAGTCTGTGATCAGTATCTTGATTTTAATGAGTTAATACTTCTCCCGCCTTCTTAGCGAGTCTTCATGGTGTAATGGTCTGCACGCTCAGCGCGGTTCGATTCCCGGCGAAGGCGTTGTTAATTTTTCATCTTGCCTGCTTCCAAAAATACCTAATGTCTCTACAGTGGCACCCGAATTAAAAGGGTGGTGAAGGATTATTCTTCTCACCCAGGATTTGGCGATTGGGTCCCCTAAAAACCCCATTCGCCCTTTAAAAGGGGGAGTATATAAGGTATTTCTCCCGCCTTCTTAGCGAGCCTCGTGGTGTAGTGATCTGCAGGATCAGCGCGTAATTGAGAGGTCCGCGGTTCGATTCCCAACAAAGGCGGTGGCAATTTTTAATCTTGCCTGTTTCCAAAAATACCTAATGTCTCTGCAGAGTAATTAAAGATTTAATAAGTAGCTTAGTTTGGTATGAAGTTGCAGAGGCATTAGGATATTTTTGGAAGCAGACAAGATGGAAATTTAGCAACCACCTTCCCCAGGTATCGAACCACGAACTTTTGAAATGTGCTGACCACTACACCCCGAAGGCGGGAGAAATATAAAGTTTTACATAGAAAATTGCGCAATTGTTATATTTTTGAAAGTCAAGGTGATAATATTTTACATTTTTGGAAGTTAATGTGATTAAATTATTACAATGAATCATTAATCCCTTTTACCTATTTAATCTGGAGATCGAAACATAATTTAATACTTGATTGTTATATGTATTAGATGCTTCATTTATGATTCACTTACAAGCAATTTTCGTTATCCAGATATTCTTTGTATTCTTTCGGAGCCAAGCCATTCGTAAATATACTGCATTCATATCTGTCATATAAAATCTCTCCCGTAGTTTTGCAAAGTTTAGGCAGCTCACTCTTACTGTATCTGCGAGCACAGTAGAAAGTTCGAATGTAACCTATGTTAAAAAAAAAAAAAAAAAAAAAAAAAAAAAAAAAAAAAAGATTAAGCAAATTATACGGTAACATGGGAAATAAACGGTATTTTTCGTTTAGATGCAAGCACAAGTATTTTACAGTAACTGAAATGTTTAAACATCAGCTGCAGTTTTGAATTAAAATTCAGAAAGGTTATGATAAATACTTGATATTGTTACGGATTTGGTATTTAAATAGCTAATGTTAGTTGAATTGTAAATTAATGGTTTTATTTCCCGCGCAGTGCAGCGCGTGACGAATATTCAAAGAAAGCTAAGCCGGAAAATTGAAAATACAAGAGTGCGTGCATTTTAACATTTAATAAATATCTCTTTTTGATTTCGAGAAAGTACTAGAAAATTCTCGCGTGCGATTTTAAAATCTTATAAAAAGGAGGAAAACCTCTCAGTTCAGTTAGTCAGTGAATTTAGTTAGCTTCCTGTTGTTTTAAGAGTTTGTTTAGAAAACTGCTCTTGTTGATTGTAGCGAATTCGCGGATTAGCTTTCTTCTAGCTGTTTTGAATTAACTTTTGTTGAACTTTTGAGTAGTTGAAAGATAACTACTGTGAGATATTGTAATACTGAAAGAATATCTGAGGGAATTTAAGCATTTTTATTGTGATAATAATAAAATTTTGTCCATTATTCATCGGACTTGTGCATTCAGTTCAAACGAACCCGTACGCACGCAGTAATATATTTTAGTTAAAAATATATCAATTTTTATTAAATTATTTATATCTTTATATCAAGTTTTATTAAATAAAATCAAATCTTGCCCGTACATTCCATATTAAGATTTTGAAACATCGTCTTATTAATTTACTTATTTTGCTATGAAATGGTGTATCATGATTAGTAGAGTTTCGCAGCTGAAAACGTAATCTATACAGGATGTACCGTAAATGTTGCGATAAACTTCTGGTGGAGGTAGGGCACATCATAAGGGTTAAGAATCGCATAGAAACTCATGCCCGGAAATGTCAGGGGTAAGCGGTAGCAGAGGTAGAAGATGAGAAAAGAAGCAAGAAAGAAGCAAGAGTGATTCATTTGGAACATTTATTGGACATGAATACAAATGACGACAGCTTGAATATTACAGCAAATGCTCGAAGTTTGCTAGTTATGTGCCCTACTTCCCCTAGAAAGGTTTCTCAACACCTACGGTACGCACGGTACACAATGGTGTAAAGAACGGAGTCTTCCGTGGATTTCGAACGCAGAAATCTGAAGGTTTCTTAAATTTCCGGAGACACTTTTCTAAGATTTATTATTTTTAATTCACAGAAAAAATCAACATCAAATGAAAATTCAAAGTCTTTTGACATAGACTTATGTTTCAAAATATTTACGATGGAAAATAGCTAAAATACTTTGGTAATTTATTAAAAAATGATCACGCATCTTACAGCAACTTATTTTCATCCATTATGTTGTACAGATTTAATCATAATCAATTTTATTTAATTTGTTATTCTTTCCTATAAGCCTTCATTTCCCTAATTATCAGTGCCAGAATATTTAAATTTGGTAGCGCGCTTGAAGGAATTCAAATTCCACCTTGAAGAAAGAGTTTAAAAACCGAGGTCCAGTAAGAAGGAGGAAGAGTTAGACTATTGCCGTCACCTCTGTTGCAAGCGTCTGCTCCTCAGAATTATTGCTGGTTAGCGGGGCTTAAATGCATTTACTTGCTGCCACTAGTTTTCGACAAGAGTTTAAGAAACAGGAATTATTCTGAGCCCTGTGGTTTAGTTCAGCGACTTGTACATATCTTCAAATCTTTGATTAGTTACTAATTCAGAAGTCAAACAACAAAAATCAGCGTTAATTTACAAAATTTTCACAGGACTAGTTTCGATGGTTTTACCGAACCATCATCTTCAGCTGCAAAACCGCAAATGAACACGATAGGAAATAATGTTTAGATAAGATAAGAAAGCCTGGACAAGAATAAGCAAGTGGCGCCATCTGTTGGTGAAACCAGAACTAAAACATAATTTCTCTAAAAGCCGAAGGCAAATTTGGATTGGAATTAGGATCGTTAACTAGAACAGAAAGATTTTTTATGAATGTGAAATGCCTCTAGAAAATCCAGTTCTCCAATGGAAGAGTTTTTTTGAATAATTTTGGCAGCAGAAAAAATTGAAAGTGTGATTTTCGGACCAACAATGTTGAGCAACAGAAGACTTCTGTGTTTCCTTTTTTCTAACATATGCCTCATGTTCTTTGACGCGAAATTTTAAGGCTCTCTTAGTTTGGCCAATGTAAATTAAACCACACTGGCAAGGAATCCTATAAATACCCCAGGAATTCATATCCGGAATGGGGTCCTTGAGTATAGAAGTTGGAATTTTATTGATGGGAGAATAAACAACCCGAAAGTTAAATTTCTGCAAAATATGTGCAACTTTATAGCTAATTGATGGAAAGAAGGGAATGACAAACAGAATTTTTATAATCTCCTAAAATAAGAGTGTGGCTTTTAGTGTGTTGAGATGAGAATTTTTTAACTGCTTGATTAATAATGTTGGGTGAAAAGCCCCTGTTCAATAGCTATTGCTTTTAAATAATTTAGTTCTTCATCAAGGGCTAGTTTGGAGGAGCAAACTTGAAGAGCACGGAAAACATAGGAATAAAATGAAGCTAACTTTTGTTTAGTCGGATGACATGATTTAAAGTGTGGTGGAAGGCAAACCGATGAAGGTTTACGGTAAACTGTAGTACTGAAGTTGGATGTGTTACGTGTGACCAGAATGTCGAGAAACGGAAGAGAATTGCAAGTCTTAAGTTCAAAAGTGAACTGAATAGCAGGATCAATAGAATTCATTGTTGAAAGAACTCTATTTAAATCATCTTTATTACCTTCAAACAGGGTAAAAGTATCGTCTACGTAGCGGAACCATGCCGGGAAGTTTAAAGTTTCAAATAATTTTGATTCATAATAATGCATGTAGATATCAGCCAGGATGGGACTGAGGGGGCTTCCCATGGCTAATCCCTCAGTTTGCTTGTAATATTTATTTTGGAAAACAAAATGTGTTTGTTTCAAACAGAGTTGAGTGAGAGAAATTAGCTCATCAATTTCGATGCAAGAGAAATGAAATTCGCGAAGTCTGGTTTCTAGACATCTTAATGCACCCTCCACTGGGACATTGGTGAATAATGATTTTACATCAAAAGAAACCATGAGTAAATTACGAGGAGAAATGTTTTTAACCTTTTTTACAAACTCTATTGAAATTTTTATGGTGTAAATGTTATTGTCTAATAGAGTGGAAAATCTAGAAACTAAATATTTAGCTAATGGATACGAGGCAGTACCTAAATTTGATACAATAGGGCGGAAAGGAATACCACTTTTATGAATTTTGGGAAGAGCATATAATCTGGCACAATTCGCAACAGATGGGATAAGCGAATGTTTTAAGTTGCTTGAAATGATTTGCGAAGATTTTTGATCGTAGTTTTTATTTTGGATAAGTCCGAAGGTGAAGGATCTTTAGGGATCGGATTATATGGTTCTTCGTTTAAGAGTTTAGTGACACCATCGATGTAAGTGTTCTTATCCATGACGACTATCTGGCCACCTTTGTCGGCCTTTGAAATGACAATATCCGGGTTAGAATGAATCTCGCGCATTGTAGCTCTTTCTCTCGCAGTTAGATTTGGTTTCAAAGGTTTATTATTGAATTTCACATTATGAGCGATAAGATGCCTAATCATTTCTTTCTGTGAATCTGAAACTTTACTGAACTTGAAAGCTTTTCCGATAGGAGCCAAAATCTTTGGAATCGAGGGTTGACAGGTTTGTGAGAAGTTAAAATTATATTTTAGAATTCTCTCTTGTTCTTCTGAAAGACTAACATTAGAAATATTAACTATTGGCTTGATGTTTACAATGGGTAGATTTTTTGAACTACTTGGACTGGAAGACTGTAAAAGAAGTTTTTCGAATTTAACTGCAAGGGTGTTTTTATGACGGTTAACTGCATTCTCCGTTCTAGACCAAGACTTTTGTTCAAGGGCAGTGAATTTTGGATATGTTTTAGCGAGTTCCAGATGAAGCTTATAGAGTTCATGTTCAATTTTGGACAATTGTTGACGTGTATCCCTTATCACGGACCGAAGTAAGGCAAGTTTGCAGTTTAACAGAATTCTTGAAACGCGACTCGGAAGGTTTTTGATTAGATTTGATTTGAATAAAAATTGGGGATCAATTTTTTACATTTACATTTAAGTAAAAAGTCAAGATGATTCAGGAATTTTTGCCGTTTGAGGCGTAATTTAGTGAAACGATTTAACGGATGAAGGCATGATAAACAATGCAGAAAATCAAACTTAAAATAACTGAGCAATAATAAAGTACACACAAAACAGCAGAAAAATCCCTCACTGAAATGAATAGAAAACAAAATGTTTGTAAGCCAAAATGCATGAAATCAGACAAGCAAAGCACAATATCCAAATGTACAAAACATAAACATAACTTGAAAATTGCAAAAATGTACTCACCGAAACTCCTACAATCACAAAATGGCGGCCACACCACGTGCAAAAAAGAAAGCAAAATGTAAGCCTCTTTGGGGCTTCTATAATTAAGACACAATAACACGCCGAATAAATATTAATTCAGAAGTCAAACAACAAAAATCAGCGTTAATTTACAAAATTTTCACAGGACTAGTTTCGATGGTTTTACCGAACCATCATCTTCAGCTGCAAAACCGCAAATGAACAAGATAGGAAATAATGTTTAGATAAGATAAGAAAGCCTGGACAAGAATAAGCAAGTGGCGCCATCTGTTGGCGAAACCAGAACTAAAACATAATTTCTCTAAAAGCCGAAGGCAAATTTGGATTGGAATTAGGATCGTTAACTAGAACAGAAAGATTTTTATGAATGTGAAATGCCTCTAGAAAATCCAGTTCTCCAATGGAAGATTTTGATCTTTGATTAGTTCTTTGATTTCAGTTACCGCCCAAGCAGAGGCGTAAGTTTGTTTGCGTCGAGTTGACGCACTGTAAATTTTAGAGTTAATAAATGGTATTTTTAACCTTTCTTTCCTGCAGTTACTACTCTTACAGTGTTCACACACGAGTTACTCTAGTGGACTCTACAATGTAACAAACATATTAAGCTCCAGAAGTAAAGAGTTAATATTATGTTTTGATACATTTTTATGCATTTTAATGTAAAACTGGTAAATCGAAATGTTGAGCAGAACAGTTATTCCAATGCTTCAAAACAATAGGACTGCTCAAGTTACAGTAAACCCTCGTTAACACGAATTCCAAGAAACCAAAAAATCAAGAGTTCGTGCTGAAAAAATTTAGGGTCCAATCGAAGGCTTATATTTTAATTTTGGAATAGGTTTTCTTTGCATTAACCATTTACAGTATATAGGTAAATACGTACTATAACAGCATATTATGCATATCACCATAGCGAATACTACAGTACTACGTTGATACTGTACTTGACAAACTGTACTCGTTATTTTTTGGTGAAACATTCCTGTATATTGCCCTGTCGCAGAAGGAGCGGAAATGCCTGATATCTTCACGTACTCATGTTTTCTGTAAAATTAGAGGTCATTTCGGATGTTTCGGTGAAACGCTCTAAAGTGTTCAAGGCGTTTAACACTTTTCAGCGAGTGGACGGAATGATATTCCTTCCCCTCACTTTCTTCTGATGACATTTTTTGCAACTCACTGGAGCACAAGCTGATTTCACACAATTGCATGATTCACCTGGAGTACACACAATTGCATGATTCACCTGCACTACTAAATTCCTCAAAATTAGCACCAGGGTTCACAACATCTTAATTCAGAACATCCAAGATTTAACTTTAGTCGTACTAGCTAACTTTTAAAGAATAAAAAAGAAGCACATCTTAGCACGGAATTGCATTTTTTGGTTGAAGCCCATTGTTAACGAGATGATGGGGATTTCGAGCCATGTTACTCGTGCTTGTTATCTTTCAAAGAATACAGTGAGACTTTCAATTAAACGCGACAGAACAGTTTTGAAACCAGTCCTAGCAGAGAAACGTCAGGAAAAAGATACAAGTAACTTTCGAAGTCGTGTTAAATGAAAAATGTAATGACGCAAAGGACTAGCAGTTCGTGATAACCGAAATTCCAGTTAACTGACAAAAGTTCCTATCAGATCATGTGTATTACTGTCTGGGACCGAAGTGTTGTTCATGTTAACTGCGTGTTCACTTTAAAAGAATTCGTATTAAGCGGGATTTACGGTATTTCTAAATTCGTAAAAGTGTCATTCTATTCATAAAAAATGTCCTGTTTATAATATTACTATGTCTTCTTTATCAACATATTTTCTCTCAGTGGCAAGTCTGTTGTTTTTTGTCTACGGACATGATATGCGTAGTGACGTAAATTTTCTTTTAACGCATGTGATGACTTATTGTATTCTAAAACACCACCGAATTCCAAATATCTGGAAAAAACGCGTCATTTCTCAACTATAGGTATTAAAAGATTTAGCATCAATGGATTTTTAGTAGATTTAATAATTTTCTAGAATGGAAACGATGATATTATTATGTATATATTCAGTATTTATTCAGGTAGCTTCTTTTCTCTTATATTGAAATAAAATTTAGTTAGTTTTATTGGAAAAATGCCATTTAGGCGTTTTAATAATTTTCTTTACAGGATAGCTTTCAATGTCAAGGACACACATATATATATATATATATTTTTATCTTCTTTTCTTTTGCAAAATGTTTTGAAAAGTAAAAGTGAAAAAAAAAACTTCTAAGAGCCTTTGAGCATTTAAAAATTCATTATTCTAAAAACTGAAGTTATGATGTCAACATCCAAAATACAAATGATAAAAAAAAATAATATTTATCCATGAGATTTTCATATAATACGATTATTTCTTACAACAAAATATTGAATTGAAATACATCGCTCGCATTATGAAGCATTTTCTCCCTTTTTCAAGCATGCCTTCGTGGTGTAACGGTTAGCACACTCGGCGCGTATTCGAGAGGTCCAGGTTCGAGTCCCGGCGAGAGCATTGCTAATTTTTCTCTTCTCCCGCTTCAAAAATTTCTAATGTCTCCACAGAGGCGCCCGAAATAAAAAGGGAGTGGATGATGATTCTTCAGCACCAGGACTTGACAACTGGATCCCTTATTTTTTCACTCCTTTCTGCAGGCCTTCGAGGTGTAACTGTAGCACACTCGACGCGTATTCCAGAGGTCGAGGTTCGAATCCCGGCGAGGGCTTTGCTCATTTTTCATGTCTCCAACATCAAAATAACCTAATGATTCTCCAATTTACTTCTTTTCGTATTATTCTTTTATTGCGTGTATAACCTGGCTAAATATGTATGGCAATCGTAAAATATCTTGAACTTTTTAAAACTGAAATTCCCGATAATTACTGTTTAATACAGCATAATCTAAATAAATATTTTTAACTTATTTAAATTTGATACATATCTGTTTAATTTTTTTATTTTTTTATTTTTAAGGCTTTTGAATGTTTACCTCTACGTAAATTACTTTGTATGTCACAGAATTCTTCGACGAGTTTCGTATCATTAAGGAGAAGTCTGGCACGTCCCAGTACCTCTATGTCTTCAGGAATATAAAATTTTCTTCCACATTCTGCTTTCTTTTCTTGTAAACACCGCATTGCATTGAGTACTTCTCTTCAAAAAGGAAGAAAACATTTTGACACAGATTTTATGCATTTCTTATAAATCGTTCAAGTAATAAGAGATGAATTATGTAGGAAATAATTCAAAATATTTCGTTGTTGTTAAATACTTAATTAAAAAATGTAAATCATGAAATTGTATTTATATTATCCACGAAAATAATTTTGAAGGAGTGACGAATGTAGAATAGTTTACAAAATGATGAGAAACAGAAATTGAATATTATACATGGTGTCTTAAAAGGTCGTTGCCAAACTTAACATGCTGGTATGTCATACCATGACAAATAAGGCTTGCTTAGGAACTTGTGTCTGAAAATGTGAACGGCGAACCTCTAAAGGACAGTGTTCGCAGGCTTATGAGAAAGTGGGACGGGTGATCATTTCAGGTGGGGACGTTGCAGGAGAAGGATGAATCGGTTTACTAAATCAGTTCTAGAATGTTGCCGGATCTCACGGTTGCCACTCAATTAGCTACAAGCCGATGATGAAGAGCCTGCACATTTCAGTAGCACTTTGCGGGAATGCCTCGATAGGATATATCCTGATGGCTGGATTGGCAGAGGCGGACCAGTCGCATGGCCACCGCGATCTCCGAACCTGACTCTCATGGATTTCTATTTGCAGGTATACATGAATTACGTATTGTACGAGACAGCTGTTACATCGGACATGGATCTCGTCGCCAGGATCTTGGAACCGATGACACGTGTACGCTTGCTCCTGCGGTCGCCGTTCGACTTTTCGGACACAAGTTCCTATGTAAATCTTGTTTGTCATGGTACGACAGACCAGCAGGTTTAGTTTGGAAGCGACCTTTTAAGACACCCTGTATATACATAAATACGCATACGCAAACATTAGTATTTGAAAAACAGTTGAAACTTTCTGGCAAATTAAATATTTAATTATAATATTTGGAAATATTTATGTACTGCAATTAAATTGGCAGCTCTATTTATAAGAGCAATATAACAAAGTGTTGATGAATAGATTACCTGCAATATGTTTTTTCAATATGTGTATTTAGTAAATTCATTTTCTGAAAATATAAGAATAAAAAAATTATTTTACTTGCTACTAAGTATAGTAGTACTAACCGTTTTGCTACAGTTCATTAACATAACAAGCCTCATCCTTTATAATTTCCGTCTATCAATTTCAATCCATCAAAGATTACAGAAACATCATCCACATCATGAGAATATGTTCCAGGATCTTCCGAAGTTGATGCCAAATTGGATTAAAAACATATTATTATTTTGTTAATGCCTTCTTTTAAGAAATTTCAGTGGTCCTGCCTACATATTTTTTTATAAATATATATACATAATATAAATATATTTTTTATATACGGGGGAGCGCAAAGCAGTAAATGCGCGCCCCTGTATATAATGCAGGATTATTTATTTACCTATTTGTGTGTGGGGGGAGAATAAATAAATAGTATAAATGAATTTTGAAAACATAACATTATACAAACATGCGCAAAATATGTATACATATAATCATACATATAGAACAAATTAACTATATTTATATATATTTTATACTCATTAAAAATAACTATTTCAAGTGAAAATACAATAACTCTTACAGTAATATTTAATTATAACTTTGTATATTCCACAAAGTGAAACATATATAATGATTAACAATTTTGAAATGGAAAACAATAAAAATATAAAAAATTTTTGAGAAATGGCAAATAATATTAAGTAGTATAAATAACAGATCTGCTCAAAATATTTATGGCATAAACTTTTCAAGCATATTTATAATTTAATATTTCTTGCTTTTAAAGAAGCAAAATCATCAATAATTGTTTCAAAATCTATTTGATTACTTAACTCATGTTCTATAGAGAGAATGGCCCTGTTTGAAAGTTTTTCTTGGCCCTGGTGAAGATCTCATAGTTCTTTATTATTTTAAGTTTGCTAAAGTTTCTTTTGCAACTATCTACAGTAACTGGCAACGTTAAAAAAATTCTTAACGCTGTTTGAAAATTCGGGTAGACTGATCTAAATTATAATCGTGAATTATTTTAAAAAGTTCTAAGCTTGTAGCTGCTTTTGCTTCCGGAAATATTGAAATAGCATAATTTTTAAAACTATATATTTCTGAATGAATTTCTTCAGGTTCATATCATTCGTATATTTAAGTGCTAAGTTATTAGCTGATGCCTAGATCTAATGAAATTAGTTGTTAGCCAGTTAGAAACTGCAAATCGGAAGAGATTTCATTCAACTTATCGTATCGCCATTTCACCTGTGAAATTAAAACGTCAAACACTTCTTTAATTTCTACAAAAATGTATTTTTTCGAAAAATCTACGATTTATATCAATTGATTTCTCACGATTTGGTTTATTAACTTTTCGTTTTTTCGTTTCTCTTCAAATTCTGATGATATATTCATCTCTAAAGTTGAAGTTTTACATTTTTCAAAAATGCATTAGATTTTCTTTTTCTTTTTTTAGCTGGATTGTTTATATCACAAAATTCTTTTAATATTCACTGATGTATTCCGAAATTAAAAGTGAAAAATCATAAGTTTTAAAAATCAATTTCTGAATTTTTGAACGAATAGCTAATTTGATGCCCCTTCTATTTTTTCACCTGAAGCAAGTGCCTTACCTGCCTCACCCTCGTCTTGGCCCTGCAGACAGTCCATTCCCAGGAAGAACTCTTTTAACTTGTTGACTGATCATGAAGCAAAAAATTGGACAGTAACTATAATTCTAATTTTTGAATAGAAGTAGCAACTAAATGTCCAGATATATATGAAATATAAATAAGATTTCCTCTTTGCTTTTCCACCAGCAGTATTTGTGAAAATAAAATTTTTGTCGTATTGATAATTAAAAGTAAGGGAGGAATCACATGAAAGTTTTTAAATTCAATCCTTCTCAATTAATAAAACAAAGATTTGCTAAATTATTTGAAAATTCACCTGTACTGAAAGCAGTTAATTTTAATTTTCCTCAATACCTTTATGATTATTTAACTAAAGTACTGAGTTTTTAAACTAAAAATAATAATTATAATTATTAGATTTCATAAAGAGTCATGCACTTTTATTCAGGAAAGCACTTTCTTTGAATACGTGCTGGCCATCATGATATTAAATATTTCGCAAACAAGGGCTTCTTTTGCTGCTTGGCCTATTCAGTTGATTTCTGTGGTGCATTTCAATACTTAAATATTTTTATGCCTTTGTTTTTATCCAAATCAACACTATTTAAATCAGTTTAATAACAGAATGATTAATTAATTATATGTCAAATAAAACGACACAAGAAAAAAAAAATAGAACACGATGCATCTCATTAGCCTAATGTCTGTTAACTCATTTTAGCATTAATTTACATTTGACTACACGCCACACCTTATAGTAGGTATTTTTTTACTTATTTAAATGCTCTGCCTTTAGGCACTACACGGAAAGGGGGAATGCCCCGTGGAAGTCTTTTCAAGGGAAACTGGCTCGTATATACAGCGGCTGTTACCGCTCGGACGCTGGTGGGACTATACTAGGTATTCTAATGCTTTTTACGATTATGAATGCTTATGTTAATTCATTTATGAACATATGAAAAAATTACACCGATAAGTATTTATAAGTAAATTTCTCGTGTTCGGAATCTCGCATTTTTGAAAGAAAGTCATCTAGTAGTAGTAAGTAGAAAAACCTTTAATTTTGATTTTGATTATTACGATGCAAATCAGTATTTCATTCCGTCTATATGCTATAAACTGCTACGTTTCCACGAACTGATTTCGCTGAATTTTAATATACGGATTTTACATGAAACTTTTATCATTGCAGCTGCATAAAGACATCTATTTGGAAATATATTACATGTATTGCAATTCTGAAACAAATAATAAAATTATTAATTGCAAATTCTTATCGCTATAATATTAGTCAATAAAATGAAAGAGAATTATATACAAACGGGCACATATGCGTTAAATCCTTCTCAGTCGGTAATTCAATAAGCGGAAAGAATTGATTTAGTTTCTGTCGGCATGTAATTACTTCCCAGCAGGCTGCACTAATTTCAAAGACTCCTGCAAATTAAATTAAATAAAATTTAGTGTCGAGTTTTTATTTAATTATTTGTTTTATAGAATTAAAGTGATTCTGAAGAACAGCAAGCAAATATGTATATGAGCATATATACAAATGAATACATGCAAAGAAAAAGTAGTTCGAAACCTAATTCAGTTGCTCGCTGAAGGTGAACAAGTGGTGATAATAATGCAAAATAAATTAAAACAAATACTAAGCTTAAAATCCCATACATATTCAGTTCCGAATAAGCCATATGGGGAAAAAAAAAAAAAAAAAAAAAAACAGAAAGCGTAAAAAATGCCAAAGTAAAAACGGAAAAAAAAATCTATATCTTTCGCTACATCGTCATCAGGAGGTTGGTGCAACGTGGGTTGGGTTGGGTTATTCAATTATGGCAAAGCACACGAGGGCTATCTGCCTAAAGGGAGGGATGCCTTCGTGGAGGACTTTCTAAGGGAAACTGGCTCGTATACACGTTACACACGGAGAAAACTACGAAAACGCCCATGCAGCCAGCCCGTTCGCGGGATTTGAACCTCGGACCGAACTACCAGTGTTCAGCGTCTTTACCGCTCGGCCGCTGGTGGGCCGTTGGTGCAACGAAAGAAGCGAATACATCAGCCTGTTTTTGCGCAAAGACATAAATTAAAGTTTAAAACTTGAAGTAATTAGAAAATCAATCAAAGCAATCTGTGTCTTTATAAGTCCAACCCCCTACTGGTCATAGTAAGTAGTGCAAAATTATAACATCAAAAACTTACAGAAGCTTTAAAAAAAAAAAAAAAAAAAAAAAAAAAAAAAAAAATTATTTAGAGTAGACACAATCCAATGACAAAGTCCTCCAGAACACAAAGTATTCAAATACAAGCAATCCAATAAATGAAAAAACAATAATATGTGAAAATTTTGAAGCTGCATTGGCCGCGGTAAAAAGTTTTTAAAATTATAGCATCAAAATCATAAACAAGCAAAAAAAATCTTAAAAATCTAATAATAATTATTTTCACTTTAAAAGAGGACCAAAGAACAAAACACGTAAAACGGTAGCAATCCAACATGCAAAAATAATAAATGAAAATTTGATCTGAGAGCAACTATAAAATAAAAATAAAATAGAAAACAAAACAAAAATGAAAAGAAAAGCTAATTCTTAAATTCTGTAACATTAGAATAAAAATAGTTTTGAAATGGAAAAATACATTCGATATGATCAGCAGCAAAATGCTGTTGCTAAGCCTAAAATGTGCTAAGTAGTAGAATTAGACAAACTATGAATTTTAAATTGATTAATAATAATATAAATAGTACGAACAAATTTCTGTTGTAACATTTTAAAGAAGTTATAGCAAAAAGGAATAATTTGCAATGGGCAACGACATGGCATTACCTGGATTATAAATCCTAAATGAACTCCAATAGTTAACCGACAAAAATAGTGTTAGTTCCTTATTAGTAAATAGTATTAGTATTAATTTCGGATTTTTATTAGTAATAATTATTGCTGCATTAGTTCGCTTCATTTCAATGAATGTAAAACGTTGTATTGAAGTTAGGACAGTGTCTAACAAACTGTGAGCCATATTTTGAGTAATCTTAGATATTCCAAGTGAAAAATTTAGCAAAATGGAACGAACTAATATATCACGTAATAGTTTGGTGATTCACTATTGGAGTTCTTTTTAGGATTTATAATGCAGGTAATTTGATGCTATTTTCTTTTTTCCAGTTATTCAGTTTTTTTTTTTTCCTACACCATATTTAATCTTAAAACAGAAGTTTTTTTCCATTTTTTTATTGATATAAATTAATTTAAAGATCGTATTTTATCTAATTTCATTACTTAACTACATTTTTTAGGATTAGAAATTGTATTTTGCTACTAAGCATATCGAATAGAATTTTTCATTTCAAAATTTTTGTTGCTCTAATATTACAGATTTTAGGAACTAACTCTTCTTATTTTTTACACTTTTATATTTATACACTTTTACATTTTCAGATCAAATTTTCATTTATTAATTTTTCATATTGCTTCATAGGCATTTTGATTTTGGTCTCGGTCCACTTGAAATAATTATTATTACATTTTTAAACTTTTTGCTTGTTTATGATTTTTTTGTTATTTGCTTGTTATGAGAACTACTATAAACACGCTGACACAATCAGCGACCAACCTTCAGGTTATCAGGCTATCACGGTGGAGACAGCTTCCTGCAAAGCACCCGACTCTGCTTTCCGGAGTACAGCTCCCGACTCTGCTTGGTCGTTCTCGGAACTCCACGTACTCTCGAGACTCTCCACGCTATAACTCGCGATGCACTCTCGACGACACATGAGCACAGCTCAGGATTCTTCGGTTCAGTCGTCGTTCCCGGAGCTCCACGCTCTCTCAGCGATGCACTAACCGCGATACACTAACAGACTCATACTCTGGACTAGGCGCACACTGACTGCGGACCAGCAGGGTTTATATAGCTTTCGGCTTCTGGGCTAAACCGGTAAGAATTCGTTCCGGAAGGTTCTCCATCCGTCTATGGCATATCGCCGATTTTGTCGCCAAATAGGCGATTTCTCGCCAAATGTGGCAACCCTGCCTTCCCTTGCAATTTATGGCAACCCTAAAACTGCTTTGCGGGGAAGCCATCTTACCGCGCCTGTACATTTCGTAACAATATAAATTTCTGTTTTCATTTTTTTGTTTTTTCATTTTTTGCGCTTTATCAAGTAGTTTGTTTCTGTGCTTCTGGTTTTTATTTTCTGCATATGGCTTATTCCAAATTGGATAAATGCCCATTCTTTTTTTTTATCTATCAATAACTTTTTAATGCTGAATTTAAGTGAAATATTTATGGCATTAGCTTCATGTGCTTCCGGATTCGGGGCAAAATTTGTTAAAATTCTTCATTATTCCAAGTTGTTAGAGTTCTGGTGCTTTCGTATTCCAGTCCTTACTATAAATAAATCGGAAATTCATTCCTATTTTGATAAAGCAGACGCGACAAATCGCTCACTTTCATACATCCACTGATACATTATACATACAGTGTCTCACAAAAGTGATGGGACACTTGTGCTTTACAAAAGGAAACTAATAAAATAAATTAAAAGTACATGTAAAAATTTTTTGTGGGTGTGTTTCATACTTAAATTTAGTAACAATTATTACGTAACATACATTTTCCCATAATATTAAAATATTAATTTAACAAAAATACAATTGTTTAGAACGGAGCAAAAAATGGCTCAGATAAGTGATGGGACACCATTAGATGCTACTACGTACTACAATAAAAATACTTTTTGGGGTTTTTATTTTTATTCAAAAGCAATTGGCAATAATTTATAAAGTCGTCTGCAGTATTTCTGTCCAGTTTGTTTTGGAATTTTTGCGTTTTTTAGCTCTGTGCAGCCATGAATGCTAAACGAAAAGAAACTTTGCCTGAAATTCGAAAATTAGTTATTAATTTGCATATTGAACGTGGAAAATCTAATAGAGAAACTGTTGAAACAGTTAACTTGAGTCATTCAACAGTTTTCAATATCATTAAACGATATAAAAAGAATCATATGATTCAGGATAAAAGAAGACCTGGCCGACCATCAAAGCTATCTAATGGAATAAAGCGAATTATCGTTCGAATTATTAAAAAAAATCCAAGAATGAGTGCTCCTAAAGTTGCTGCTGATTTACAAGCATTATATGGAATAATTGTTAATCCTGAGACTATTAGAAGAGTAATTCGATTTGCTGGATATCACGGTAGAGCAGCCAGAAAAATATTCTTCGCAAGTGAAAAGAATAGAAAACTCAGACTGGCTTTCGCAAAATCCAACATAAATAAGAATTCTGATTGCTGAAATGGAGTTTATTTGCTGATGAGAGTAAATTTAATATATTTGGTTCGACGTTAGAGAATCTGTTTTGGAGAAAAACCCAGGGAAGAATTTCGCAAACAGGACTTGGTGCCACAGTAAAACATGGTGGAGGAGGAGTTATGGTATGGGGTGTATGTCTTCCGCTGGAGTTGGTAATCTTGTTTTTATTGACAGTATAATGAATCAGTACAAGTATATTGACATTTTAAATCAAAATTTGAAATCTTCAGCACGAAAATTGAACCTTCACAACGATTTTAAATTCTGCCAGGACAATGACCCCAAGCACACTGCTTTGAACATTAGACTCTGGCTGCTGTATAACTATCCTGAAATAATAAAAACACCACCACAATCTCCAGACTTAAATCCCATAGAGAATACTTGTCAAGAATTGGAATCAAGAATTCGCAAACACACCATTTCTTCAAAACAGCAATTAAAATCGGTGCTTCAAGAAGAATGGGATAAAATCACTCCAGAAATCACAAAAAAATTAATCGAAACCATCCCAAGAAGATTAAATCATGTTTTAAATGTAAAAGGATATCCAACAAAATATTAAAACCTTTTAAAAAGTAAAATTTTTGGATAAATATTTGATGGTAAAGTAAGTGTCCCATCACTTATGTGAGCCATTTTTTGCTACGTTCTAAACAATTGTATTTTTATTATTCCTAACGTGATTTCGAACTAATTTTCGTTCGCTCAGGTAAAATTTTCGCCACCGCTAAATTTGTGGAGTCGTGAGAAGTTTCTGCATGTAAAGATTTGAGTTTAAACGTATATATAACGAATAACGAGTATATAAACGAGTATAGTTTGACATTTCGCTTCAAACCATTTTAATAAGCGTAATTTTTGTAGTTCAGTTTAAATGATCAAATTATTCTAATACCTCAAAGTTACTATTCACTGGGGATTGTTAGATAAAAGTAACTCTTTTACTTAATGTCTGAAATGATTCTTCTTCTTCTAGCATTTGTACATAAAGTTTATCGTAAAATTAAAAAAAAAAATAAATATAATATTAAATCGCAATTAAATATAATATGAAATCCGACTTGTAACTAGGACACCAGTGATTACAAGCAACCATTGACAAGCGACTCAGCGAACGGGAGCTAAGATCACTGAGGGCATTGCGACGATTGCCCTTCACCGTTGCACATCGCCAAGCACGTTTGCACTGGAGGGCGCATTTGACCTTGGACCTCACGGACCGGAGTAGAATTGTTTTCAGCAATCAGTCCCGCTTCGAACTGAACCTCGATAGCCAACGAAAACATGCCTGGAGATGTTCAGGACAACGGTTTATGTTTTTCAAAACTCGATGGATACTCCCTTGTCGAATCCATTCGGACGATTGAGTAAAATCTATGTGCACGTGCAGAACAAAGCACTCTTTTTCCAAAATGGGCAGTAAAATGAATTTAAAATGTATTCGAAACGAATATTTATCGTGATGTCTGTACGTAGGTACTTAACGTATGTATGTACGTTTCTCTCATAACTCAAAAGATTAGACGAGAACGTTGAAATTTTATATATGGGATTGCTATAACATCTAATTATGCACCTCCGTTTTTGATTGGAATCTGTGGTATAAAATGTGCTTTATTTTTGCAATCTTTCATTGTGCTCATATACTTCCAACTGCAGAAGTATTTTTAATGACAAAAATATTCATGTTTTGGCAATGTGGAATTTAAAAAAGACTTGATTTTAAACAAATAACGAACTCTAACTTTTAATTCTGTCACCTAGTTCCTCTACTTATATTTGGGAAAATTTTACACTCATTATGAAAAAATAAAACTGTAAGAAGTTTGGCTCCCGTACGACAAAATTTCACCGGGATATTTCGTTTCGAAATTCCCAGTTTGGGATGTCATTTCAACTTGCCTTGAGGGATTGGTTACAAAGTTGGAATAATGCGAGGAAATAAGTTTAAATGAAGAGCAGCAAAAAATGTGTAGAATTTAATAGGCCGAACAAGGAAGTCATGTGGAACCCTCATCAGATTATTTTGAGTACGTTTCTTAAGGACCAATCTAATCATCGCAGAACTTTGATCTTTCCATCGTCGGATAAACCGAAAAAAATTTCTGAACGAGTTAAAAAAAAAAAAAAAAATGAATTGGATTACGGAATTCTGGCAATTTTTCAGAAATGTTTTCACTTTTTAACAATCATGCAGGAATGAATGAGGGCAAATTTTTAATTTATAATTATTCACTATTATTACCATCACGATTTTAAATCAACATGAGATCGGATTTCTGAATAAAAAAATTAATAATTTTATTATTATCTACACAAGTGGATAAATCAGAAGATCTTTAAATAAAGGTGATGACATATTTTTCCTTTATATGCCAATTAGAAGAATAATTTTTGTATATTAAGAAACAGTGGTAGTTATGAAATTTCTACCCATTCTGTTAGCTATACAGTATAAAATAAGATGCCTCTAAAAATTATTTAAGTTACACAGTTTTACTAATAGTACATACATTAAACGGTACAAATTAATTCTCTTTCTGTCTTTGTTCGTATGTAACTAAATATGGGGCATAAATATAAAACTATTTTGATACTAACGGAATTTCGAGGAACAGTGCTAGTTTAGAAATGACACGCATAAAGATTACGACATCGAATGTTTTCATTTAAAATCCCTAGTTATAAGTGCCTGCAGGGCTTTTCGTAACACATGATGAAGAATTCTGAGGTGAATACATATTTTTTCTTTCATGCTATTCACTGTAAGATCACATTTTTTATATTATTTTATTGCTTTTTAGTTTTTCCTTTATTTTCATCAGTACTTCTGTGACTTTTCCTAATAATTATTGTTTCCTTATGGACATATTTGCTAATCCTAATTTATTTTAATTAACCTCTTTTGTTCCTCATAACCTTATAAGGTATTTCTCTCGCCTTCTTAGCATGCCTTCGTGGTGTAGTCGATCAGCACACTCGAGCGCTTATTTGAGAGGTCCGTGAGGTTCGAATCTCAGGCGAGGGCATTGCTCAATTTTTCACATCTCCTTCTTCCAAATAACCTAATGTCTCTACAGTGACGTCCGGACTAAAAGGGTGGTGGATGATGATTCTCCACAACCAGGATTTTGCAATTCGGTCCCCTAAAACGCCAGTAGCCCTTTAAAAGGGGAGTATATAAGGTATTTCTCCCGCCTTCTTAGCGTGCCTTCGTGGCGCAGTGGTCTGCATGCTGGGCGTGTATTCCAGAGATCCGTGGTTCGATTCAAGGCGAAGGGGTTAATCATTTTTCACATCTCCTGCCTCCAAATAACCTAAAGTCTCTAGAACCTGTCCTTCATTATGATCTATTGTGTGCAAATCGGACGTTATAAAATATGATCTGAAAATCAGAATTAACGAGTTTGAAACTTTTAAATATATTTTTATGAAGATGAAACATTCGATTCTGAAATTATAAGACGAATTAAAGGAAACATACTAAATTAACTCTGCTAAAGCAAATAGGGATCTACAAAGCCTTCTGAAAGGTAATAAAGATGCTAAACAAACAAAGCTATTTTTAACATATTAACTGACGGAAATGAAAAATATTTTTTTTTTCAAAAGTAAAACGAAACTCTATTGTTTTAAGAAAGATAATACTTTCCTTCCGCATTTGTAAAACATGAAGAAGTTATGTAAGCAAAGATAAAAAAGTTAGCGTTTTTAATGTACATAAGAATAGGAAAAGAAAAAAAAATAAAACATTAAATGAGCACTTCGAAAATATCTGGAGGTTTAAATAAATTAAGAATCTAAAAGTACCTACCTAGAGATATCAGGAATGTCGAATATAATTTCCACATGTTGGCTACTAAAGTAAATATTTGCTGTTTGAAACTATCTTAGTGTCGCTTTTATAATTTTTAACTCTAATTCGGATCTCGATCATCCGGGTACCTAAAAATGTACCCTTTTTATACAGAGTGTATTGTTTTCTTCTTTTTACTGCAGGAAATTCAATACCAAGGATATCCTGTAGTTACTGCCCAAACAGGAAATTATCTTCACGTAGATTATCAACTTTATATAGAGTAATTATATTCAAGCGGAAAAGGCACGTTAATGTACAACAGTTCCTGATAGGATTAAATACGTTCTAAACCAAATAAAAGTTCCACATTTAGTAAGACAATGTCTTAGTTAGTATGTATCTTAGGCGTACCTAGGTTGTAGCTTAATTATTAAAAGTAACAAACTTTTAAAAGTAACAGGTTTATATCTGCCCAGTATAATGTACCAGCTTTAGGTCTTTTACGAGAATTCTCAGATTTCTTCAAAAGCCTAAGAAATTTATGATAAATTTCCAACCACGGAGGTTTAAAACTGAATACGTTTTTGTTCAGTTTGATTTGTAGGGTAAACATGACCCATCTCCCTGAATAGATCTTTATGATCCTACTGAAATCCGAGGTATTGCTTTGTGACGGAACCTTTGTCAGATTGTTCTGAAATCTGAGTGAAGTCCAGAAATTTTGTCTTTCCTAGGGACGAAAACAACTGACAAAAAAAAAGTGAACAGATATTTACATAGATTGCTCTTAACGTGTAAGGATCATGTTAGTTGATCTATTATCTTATTATTTTATGTATACCATTTCTTTTACATTCACCAGTTTTCACAAGAAGGCAAACTAACTAAGTATATTTAAGAACAGACGTGGGAAAGAATTAAACTTAAATGTTTAGAGAGAGCTTTGGCAGCGACCCTAATCTTCATAGAATTTCCTCGTTTAGTTCTGAGAATTGTTTTATTCAGATAGCAGCTTTTTGCTAACTGATTTGCTCGCGCAAGCAAAATAGTTACATGCTAGTTACATCTTTGTTATTAACTTAGGGACTAAGTAGCGGAAATTGAATTTTGTGTAATAGCTGTAGAAATTGTTAAGTTTAAATAAAAATGTAGTCTAAACTCCGTTCCGAGGTGGAGCTCGTTTGATAGACGAGGGCCATACGTCGTCTGGCAGTCTCACAAGGAATTAATTTAATTTAATAAAGATTGGTTTCCCTTTGAGCTTGGTAAAGAAGGGGAAGTCGTAGCGGTATTTTCAGCTAGCTTTTCGCCATTTCAAAACTCTTGAGTTACGGCCTTTGGTGCTCATGTTGAGGTCATTTGGATATCATTTATAAAATTCAAAACTCTCCCAGACTTTTCAAACACTGTTGCCCATTCAAATTTCAGCTCTACCTTACAAAGCATATTCACTCAAGGTAAACTAGCTTCATGCTTTAAAGTTCCAGAATAAATATTATTCTGGAAATACTTATCTGATATCCAAAAGAGAATAGTTCTACAGTGGACACCACCTCATTCTGGGGTGGGAATATCTGGCAAAGGGGATATGAAACGGGGATATCTGTTAAAGAAAAATATTGGAATAAAGCAAAATATTTTCACTGAATCACTTTTAGAAACAGCTTGCAAGATGTAGAGAACACGGGATTATTTGTAATTTCCGAAATTATATTTAAAGAAAAGTCAGGAGCAAGAATTTGGATGCTTTATTAGATTGCTTTCGTGGCAGTTCAGTAGCTCCCTTCTGATTAGTAGCTGAACATGACTCCTCGGCTCTCTGTTTAAATAAAACTGAAATTTTCAATAGTCCTGACGAATAAATTAAGGTCCGTTTGCAATTCTAGCTTCATGGATGTTAGTCACTTCGTTCTTCGTTCTGATATATAACAGAGTTCTTTGTTCAAGCACTTTTGGAATACCATTATGAATCAAATTGCCCAGAAAAATAAAAAAAAAAAAAAAGAAGCTAAGTCACATTTACAGACGGCAAATAAATAATTACAATAAAACTATGGTTTACGAAATTAATTAATTAAGATAAATATGTCTTCTGAAACAATTTTCACCACAGTAGTTAATGTAAAATGAATTAATCCATTTAAGGATCCCAAACGAATGCTTTCCCTTAACACTGCTCGTCTCGACTTGCGAATCGCCGAGCCTTTCTTTCATTAAAAGTTTGTCCATCGTAAACATTTGTCCATGTTTTAATATATTCCCGAATCAATATATGATATTGGCACTGGAAATATTTATGTTACGAGATACTACTGTTTCATCCGAGTGGTAATATTCTAAGAAACGTTGCGCATAATAGCTCATTTCCACGCGAACTGGTTGGATGTATGGTTTTTTTCCACATGTAACGTGGATAATATTAAGTTTTCCTGAGAAGAGGAGAAACTTCTCCCTTCAGGCAGACAGCCCTCGCATACCTTGCCATAATTAAATAAGCCAAACTTTTGCACAGTACCATGTTTTCACAAATTTTTCAGATCAGATAATTGATATTATTTTTTCTTCCGCCTTCTTCTTCAAAGCATAACGAGAGTTGGAAAGAATAACTGTAAAGTTACCTAAAAAACAAGTACAGTCAAGATACAATATGCAAAATACGACCTACAAGAATATAAACAGGCAAAATTACAAATGCATAAAAGAAATCAACAAGAAGTGAAATCTGATAGGTAAATACGATTTTCTTGAGTTCGAATTCCTTTATACATTCGTAATTTCGCACTTCTTTGCTCTTAATGTATGTTGCGTTTTTTTGTCTTTCCTCCTGATAACTCTCATTTACAATTTCCCTTCGCTAAGGATATTTTTAATTTTAAAATTTTTTTCTCGTAAATGTAGAATACATTCACCACTTCTGATTGTTACGGTACAGGAGTAATTAATATGGATATGTTTTCAGTTGCGTCTTCAAGTGCTTCCTGTACCGAGATTCCTATTCAGATTAGTGCCACTTTAATTTAGGCAATTTAATTTTTTAAGCAGTTACGCTTTGACTGTGCCAGTTTAATTTATTTTGATGCTGTATCTTTAAATTTCTCTAATAACTATTTAAATTCAAGAATTTCATCCCTTTCATTTTTCTCTCTTTTGGTAAATAATTCATTATTCCTCTCCTTTGATACTGATACATTCCGTAAAAGAAAAAAAATAAAAGGAAGAGGAAATTATTTACTTGTCAGAAGTACCGAACACTTATATCTATATTATATTTTATTATGATCATCTATATTATATCTATATTATATCTCACATTTTTACATCTATGTTATATTTTCTGAACTTTAGAAGAAACCTTTTGAAAGAGAGAATTTTTTGACTGCTTAGTGATCTGTTTCAAACTGTTTTGGATTACTGTAATTTTAGAAAACATTTCTCATAAACGTAAACATTGATCAGCTGAGAAGTTTAAAATCAATTGAGTGATTTAAAGATTGAAACTTAGTATATACTTATATTGCCCAAAAGCAGGCAAAATGAGTGCATTCTGAAAGAATAACTAATGTGTAACGAAATTTGTTTAAAATTAATTTGTAATATTTTTATATTATTTACAATTATATAACAAGTTATTAGAAAATATTAACAATAAAAAAATTACTTCATTTGTAAAAAATAATTTATGCATTATTATTTGTATTTTTTTTTTTTTTCAAATGAAAGTGGTAATCTTTTTATGTGTACATTTTCCGCAAACATACGTTTGACATTTTTCACATATATTAATTATTTTGTTGTTGTGGCAAAGTCATACTTGGCAAATCTGCGTAGCCTGTTGACCCTTTCACACCCTTGAAAATACAAGTAGATGGTAACCTTCCAGGACCTTCGTCAAATTTTCACCACGCAATACCATCGGCAGCTGTTTCGGTCTCCTGAAAGGTGTTTTCACTTTCTTCATCAGAGTCTGAACTACTTAGCACCCTACACCTTTTCCTGGGCATATTGATGACACTTTCATTTTCATCATTAGTGATCGACTCTTCATCGCTATCTTCAGATGTTTCGCTCTGAATATAATCCGCTTCATTTTCGGTTCAGAATTTGTTGCATCTGATTCTATATCGGAGCACTATTCAACTTACATATGTTAGCTTTTCCAATAACTCACTTCTATTCGACATTTCTTTCATAAATTTAGGACGCAAACGAAATTAAATAAACAACTTGTTAGAATAAGTATCACTGCATAAAGATTGGAATAACAAGTACTACTTATTGAGAAACTGCAACTTATCAAGTATACGCCCAAATCGACAATTTATCGTATAATTTGTATGTTATCATGTGACGGTAATCGGAAAACAAATTAAAACTTTTATTTCAATACAGAGCCAAACTAGTCATATATGAAATTTACTCAAGTCAATATTATTTAAAAGTCATTTGATTATTTAAAATTTCCTAAGCAGTCAAAATGACTGCTTTTGGACAATATAGGTATAACACACACACACATATATATATATATACACACTGGTGAACTAAATTAAGAAAATTTGCATAATATATCGAATTGCATGAAAAGAACTGAACTGAAGGAAAAACCACTGCTTCTAGATGGAACAAATTTAACGCCCAGCGTCGCGTGTAAGCTATGGAAACAGTTCCAGGATGCTGGATCCATCGAGAGAAAGCCTAGGCAAGGTCATCCGAGAGCCACGACGGCCAGAGAAAATCGCTATTTGTCCATTTTAGAGAGGCGTAACAGAGGGGCTACAGCTTCTCATCTCTCTCGGGACCTGTATGCAGCCACAAGAACCCGTGTAACAAGGGTGACTGTTTCCAAAAGACTGAATGAGAGTGGGTTGTTGGCCAGAAGACCGGCTGTTTGCGTCCAGCTCACGTCTACGGACAGGAGAGTCCGATTAGCATGGTGCAGGCAGCATTTTGATGGGAGTACGGAGCAATGGGAGACCGTTCTGTTCACCGACGAGTCCCGTTTTAGCCTAAAACACCGATTCTCGCCGTACTTTCATATCAAGAGAGCCATGTATTCACTACCTACCCTTCAATGTTCGCGAAATCAACGATTATGGCGGTGATGGTGTAATGGTCTGGGCAGACATCATGTTGGATGGCCGCACACCTCTCCAAGTCTTTGACAGGCTCTGTGACTGGTGTGAGGTATAGGGATGAGGTCTTGGAGCCTTATGTTCGCCTTTTCCGGTGTGCAGTGGGCGAGTTCATCGACAGGACGATAACGATAGGATATATAGAGCTCTTCTGTTCTACGAATTTCTCGAGAGTGCGGATATTCGCCGGATGGATTGGCCAGCCAGGTCTCCAGATCTCAACCCTTTAGAACATGTCTGGAACGCTCTGGGGAGGGCGATTGCAAACTCGCAACTCCCCTTCGAGAACCATCCAGCAACTGAAAATAGCGTTGCTGAATAAGTAGGACCAATTGCCATAGGCACTGATAAACTGCCTTATTTCCAGTATGACATAACGCTGCGAGGCCTGTATGGCTGTAAGAGGGGACCATACCCCCTATTAACCCATTTCTTTTGTGTCTTCTGCAACCGCTGTTTCAGAACTTCAGACTCCCATGAGTTACACACTAACATGTGTGTCTATTATAATTGTTGAATGTTTATTTTGCTTGTATTATATCGACCTATGGTCACACGAAATTTTACTAAAATCTGTCCAGTAGTTTTGGAGATCGTAGATCAAATATGAAAATTCTCTTAATTTATTTCACCAGTATATATATAATGGAAATTATAGAGGGGGGTAACTACAATTGTTAATAAATGCATTTATATTTTGTACAAAATGTCACAAAATTCTAAGAAATTTTGTCATTATGTACATAATTGTTTTTTAATTGAAATTAAACAGCAGTCAAAATGACTTTTTGGGGCAATCTAGTGTTCAGATCGAAATGTCAATCTAGTTTTATTTTCTTACACACATATTCAGATTTTTAAACATAATTCTTTTATGCTTGTAATATTTTTTGTGATCTCATCTGGTGTCGAGGTTACAATTATCATTTTAATAGTTCAGAATGGCAACAAAAAACCGAATAATTTAAAACAAAATGTATTATATAAGTTCTTTCTATAAATGTATTATATAAGTTCTTTCTTCGAGTGTTTCTTTTTACTAAATGCGAAAGTATGTAATCCGTTTTAGAATACTGCGATCTGCAGCTATAGGTCCACGCCATACATACTGGTTTCACTTCGCCTTCTTTTTTCTTTACCATTTTGTTTCTCTTCGCCTTCTTTTTTCTTTGCCCTTTTTTTCCCCTTCGCCTTTCTGAATTATATTAACCAGGGTGCTGACGCCACTGCTAACGCTAAGCATAATTATTAAAGTAACATTAAATAACAACTAAAGTAGGCACCTCATGTTTTAAAGCTAGCGTCAAAATAACACACAAAATTCAAATCATAAATTTAGATCATCATAATAACGCTTATAACAACTTACGAAATGTGTTACTGGAATCTTAAAATTCAAAATTTTAAACACGTAAGAAAATTTTTACCTGCTTTCCAAAATTACTGTTTTAAAACGTAGTATTAGAATGGTTCAGTGATCTCCTTCTGAAATGCGTAGTTTTTCTTTATATCCCTCATATTTTCCAAAGCAATTTAAGTTGTATATTAAATTCTTTTTTAACGTAATTGATTTCTGAATTCATCTTGTTTCTACCGTTTTCATCTAAAATCTTATCAGGATACGAAGAAACATTTTATATCATTGAAAGTACTGGTTTGTAGTGAATATAATTCGCGAGACCTTCGAGGAAGATTTTCTAAGGGAAAGTAGTTCATATTTACATTGCACAAGGGAAGAAACATAATAACGATCCTGCTGCCATCCAGTTTCCTGGGACTCAGTGGTCGTATCCACTGTGGCATTTATGGATCTATTTAAGAATTTATTAACCAAACCAAAGGTACCTTTAACCAAAAGTTTGGTTCCGAAACTCCAGATTTCCCAAATCTGCCGAGAGAAAGGTGTTTTCTGAACTGTAAAACCAATACGTTCCTGTTACTAACTAATAGTAAGTTCTCCAGGCGGTATAATCTATAGCGTTAAACCACATTTTATTAATTAGAGTAAGTACAGCATCGATATAGGCTTTCCTTTTACTTAGGCACCTTGGTTTGTGGGACGTCTTGAAGTTTACATGTAAGATAAAGCAACATAAAAAAGGTATAAATTGAATCCTTCCTCCTCTGTTTATTAACGTCCTCTGTCCATCACCTCCATTTCCAGACGTTTATTCCGAACACAAATAAAAAGTCGCCCATCTGTGAGTTTGTACACAATTTGATCAAAAGCCTGTATAGCATATGTGCCACACATCTTCCCAAAGTTATATCTTACGCAGCTTGCAGTGACAGCTGAAATCCTACAGAAAGAGAAATGATATTATAAATAACAAACATTTTTTCTGCTGTTTCTTTATTCATGGAATCATTATACATCACACTGAGCTCCAATTACAAACAATTTTTTGGATGGGGGAAGAAAAGAGGAATTAGCAATAATGCAGATAGGAAGAATCTTAGTATAAAAATATAAGAAGAAAACACGAATTTACAAAATTATTAATTTATTTTAGGGAATATTATCACTTTTAACGCTTACATGTAATGAAAGAATTTTATACAAATTACACTCGGTTATGCCAAGTAACATCAAAGAGAATGCAATTAAATTCTATTACAGTCTCTCAAATTCATTTACATTACGCATTTAGGAGAATCTCACTGAAAGTTTTCAGATACAGTTAAAGGGTAGAAGTTAAACTTACCAAATCTTAGAAGATATTAAAAGTTTCCACCAGCATCAAAGTTAAATGCGGAAGAAAAAAAAAACTGAAAGGTTTCAGATTTTAAATTACGCTCAAAAGGGGCGTTTTTTTTAAAAACATTTTGGCTGTTACCTTCTTTATTTATTAAATATCACGTTCTTCGCACTTAAACCATGAAATTCAGTTCAAGAGCAATATCGCAAAATAGTTTTAAACTGAGCCTATCTTTAGAATTTCCGATATACAGGTTCGCGCGCTGGAGATAAAAAATGTTTTTTTTTCTGTAAAACGTTGCGATGGCTCGCTTTGAAGTCCTTGAGTTTGTTAATCGAAAATTCGTTAAAGTTTGACAAAATATGAAATCGATAATAAAACAAATTCCAAATTTCAAATGTGGGCATCCATTTGCTCCTATTCCCAGTAGGATTACGTCATTCAAAATTCGATGGCTCTATGTACAGTTGTTTTATCACAATGCGAGAAATATACATACATTTATGCACATTTTTCATTATTGAATTTTTTCAAATATAATGAAGGACTCTAAAATTTGGTGGCAACAGTTTGAAAAGTGAAACGGACATTTATGTAGTGGACCAACGCAAAATCGCAAAACGAAAACGGTAGTGCTTCAGGGACAAAGCCCCGTTAGACTAACAAAAAAAAAGGGGGGGTCAGTTCCGTATCTCCAGTTCTACTGGACCTATTGACGAAATTCAAATTGAGCTTTTCATGTCTCGAAAGCGCGACTTTGGATATATATTAGATTTATATGTATCATTATTCTAACAGAGGTATTTCGACACAAAATCGGACTTTCTCTGAAATAACATATTTTCTTCTTTCCCATATTCCGATTCCACGACTCAAATTATGCCTAGCTATTGTAATTAAATATTTATCTTGGTGCATTGTTTTCAGTTTTCGCAAAGAATAATTCACTTGGCGAAATTCTTAATTTATAGTAACCTATTTATTTTTTTTTTCCATTGATGCTTGAGAGGAAAAAAGGCCCATCGTTCATTCTTTCAAATAATTTTAACAAAGTTCATAAACCCCATTTTCGTTATAATCGCTTTTAAATACACCAAATTTGAAAACGCGCCAAAATGTAAATTCACATATATCTTAGGAAAATGTGAGTAAAAGAAGTCTAATTTTTTGCAGATATGCTTAGAAATACATCTATTTTATATTGTTGTTAAAATTTTTATAGGCTATAACACAAAAATGTTTTCGAAAAATTTATAAAAAATATTAAGAAATACAATTTTTTAAAATAAACAATAAAAAGTGTGCTAATTATACTATTTGGATTAAGCCTGAATTTCGAATTCTGGAAGAAGGCATCAAGTTAGTTTAATAAAAAAGAGGTATTTATAAATATATATCAAATTCAGTTAACATTGAGGAGCTAAAATTTTGAGAGCTAAATTTTAAAAGAAGTACCCTTGCGAATTTTACAAAACTTGATGCTTTGACATAATTTGAGTAGTAGAATAGAAATATGGAAAAAAACATTGGCATGTCAGTTTCAGAAAAAAATCCGGTTTTGTATCAAAATACCTATATTAAAACAATGCTATATATAAATATTATACGTATCCTATGTCACGCTTTTGAGACATGAAAAACGCAAGTTGAATTTCATCAATTGGCCCAGTAGAATGGGAGCTATAGAACTGTCGAATTTTTTTTTCACAGTTTATTTTTATACGCAAATTTTCTAGAGATGAAATGCTTCATGCCATGCATTTCTGAAATCGATGAAAAATATGCTTTTATAGCCACGTCAATATCATCTTCAGAATGAAAACAATGTCCACGTAATTTTGTTTTAAATTTAAAAAATAGCCAAAATGTCTAGTCACACATAGTATAATGAAGAAAGGATGGGTGTATTATCACTTTCATGTGCTTTGTTCAAGAAATTTGAATGTCAGTCTCGCCGAATGAGAAAATGAGCGTCACGTATTATAGTCGTCCATTTAGTGGTAAACCAGTTAGCTATAATTATCTTTTATCCATCCAACTTGATCATAAAGAATGCGGCATACATTACTTTTCTCACTGTTTGTTTTTTTTTTTACTTCCCTGCATGAAGTAAAAAGGAAGTATTGTAATCCCGAAAATTTTCAGGCATCACATTTTAAGGAAAATATCCATTTAGACAGCTATCGATTGCAATTTAACGATGTTTTGCGTGATATCTGTGCCTAAGGACAGAATAAAAGACTCTTTTTCACCCCCAAAAATTATAAAACTCATTTAAAATAAATTGTAAAGAGAATTTTTCGGGGCGTCTGTACGTAGGTACGTACGCATCTCGAATAACTCAAAATCAAGTATCCTCGGAACATTGACATTCTGTATATAGGACTGCTGTAGCATGTAGATGTGCACCTCGTATTTTGGTTGCAAACCAAACATATTGCATATATATATATATATATATATATGCAATATTTGGAGAGTTATCCAGAATTTGTTCCAGAAGTTGAGTTATCCAGAAGTTGTTTAAGTGCAGCTAAGTATAATTAATTTTGCGAGGGCGGACATGTTTGTTTACATTTTAAACTTGGCAAAATAGCGGATTTGTTGCCAGTCTAGAGAAACTAAGTTTCTCAACAACAAAGATAACGCCTTCTTTTATTATTGCGAATTAAATCATGCTTAATCCATTCTAGAATTTATTTGATGAAATAAGTGTTTCAGATTTACTTCGTAATTCTTAATATAGATATTTTGAGTTTTTAGTTATTTTTGCCTTGTCGGGAAGTGAGAACTGAATTAGTTGAATGAGAAATACTAAATCGTCTGTGAAAAGTTTCTCTTTTGTTTTGTTTGCTTAATTTCTTTTATACATCGTTTTAGATTTATTATAGTATTTGAACAGAACATGTGGCAACAATTAGATAATTCTTCAAATGATATAAATTTATATGCATTCTGAGTTATAATATGAAGGAAATGAACGCTGTTAAGTGAACCTAGCGCCAGCGTGTCCCTGCAGTAAACAAAGATAGTGAATTTTAAAGAGTGCATTTATTCTATTGTGGTTTATGCGCTATCGACTAAGTAGATATAATTCAATCCAATAAGTTTAAATTAAATGCAAGAAAAAATGCGTATAATTTAATGTTCCGTACAAGGAAGTCATGTGGTGTACACATCAGATTTTTTTATATTGCTGTTGGTTTGGGATCATCTTCAAAAACCATACTTTACCTTCTTTGCTTTTTTGAAACGACAAAAAATAATACGTAAATTTCGTCACCAGTTATGGTTGCGAATCCAAAGCTAATTTCCTTCTGTAACATTTGGCAGGACCAGCGATCATCACGGATGAACATTTTTCGTATGGTCGACACTTTGTTTAGGACAACAACTGACAAAGATCTTTTTCTGGGTTCTTTACCCAGGACAGAATTTCAATGTCTGCGAATTTCTGTAAATCATCTGAATACAATGGCACAAGATGGTGCTTTAGTTCCGTATGCTAACTGCAGACGTTGAGGGCATTTTTCTTGAATCAGCCTCACATAAAATCATAGCGCTGTGATGCTTTCCCGTTGGTTCTAATTTCCTTTTTCTAAAAATTTGTTCTTCGTTAAACAAACTGTTGACACAAATTATTGTCTGCAGAAAAGAGTTTAAATTTCCATATTTAACAATTACTTTTTATCGTATGTCGCGTCCGCGCATGCCTAAAACATTTCAGTTTCCTATGTGTAATAAGTCGTATTGATTCATGAAATTAATAGTTGAACGTAATTGATTACTTATAATTATAGGAGGTAAATGAATTGGCGATACTGTGTAAAGATATTTTTCCAGCCTTCTTAGCGAGCCTTCGTGGTGTAGCGCTGCACGCTCAGCGCGTAATTGAGAGTTTTGCTGTTCGATTCTCGGTGAAGGCGTTGCTAATTTTTCATCTTGCCTGCTTCCAAAAATACCTAATGTTTCTACAACTGTTAATAGGATTTAATTGCATTCCATTTTTATGTTTTTGAACTTAAGTGAAAGGTACATAAATTTTTCATTATATATAAATTTTAGAAATGACGTTATTTTATATAATACTATCATTTGCACGTTGATAAAAGCAAAAGATACGAATTAGACTTAGTACGACTGAGCAGCATTAAATGAGCAAATGCGATGTAATATTTTATAAGACACTTATAAGGTTATTTTCTTCCTTCTTTCTGCATATCTTCGGGGTGTAACGGTAGCACACTCGGCGCGTATTCGAGAGGTTCAGGTTCGAGTCCCGGCGAGAGCACTGCTCATTTTTTATGTCTCCCGCATTAAAATAACCTGATATCTCTACACACTATATAATTATTATGTTCTACCAAAGCAAGATGCTTGTGTGACATCATTTAATCTAATTTTGTTAAGATTATAACTAGTGTAATTTGTTCATTGATCATATGATTTGCAAATCACTTACAAGCAGGTTTCGTTTTCACGATATTCCGCGGAGCGTATGCCAGCCAATTCATTCTGGTACACAACGTTATACCATTCATTTACAGCTTTTCCTAAATTTTCGCATACTCGCAGATCCATACGGAAATAGTTCCTGGCACAGGGAAGATTCTGAATGTAATCTGCATTAGAAGAAAAAAAGATTAAATATACCAGCAACATGACCAAGAGTACGATAAATAGGAAATATTTTATTTAAAAAAACGTTGAAAAACTAGGTAAAATTTAGAATCAAATATGCAGAAGACTTGGAATAAACTTTTAAAATATTTTAATTATATAACTCCCTATGATATATATATATATATATGATTATTTATTTCCTAAACAGTATTGATTAATTGATTATATTATCTCCTAAGTTTAATTAAAGTAGAATTATTTTAAAAGTGTGCAATCCATACTGGTAAGTTATATTTCGAAAGATGTTTTTGAAGTAATTTGAAAGCAAAATGTTAATAATGTTTTTTAACGGGGACTGGAGTTAAATCATCACGAAGAATAAATTTCAATTGTAAAAGGAAAAATTAAAACATGTAATTATTGTCATTGATCGGAAATTAGTTGACTTTTCAAGGGAAACAAACCGAACTCCCGTTCAATGAACAATAATTGATAAAAATACGTAAATACGAAGTGTTTCGTCTTTACTCGAGTTATAAGTTAAAGCCAAACCGGCAATTCTAGTCAGGCCAAAAATTTTTCCGCGAATAGTTATGCTTACTCAAAGAACTCATGAAGCATTTTAGTCAATTCAATTTGGAGTAAAAATCAATTACTGTAGAGAAATCCTGATAAAACTCCGAGTAACCGTCCCCGACACCTTCATCTTTATGTATTTGAGTTCTATATTATTTGTAGAAAATTAAACATTGGAAATTGTCATTATGAAATCGAATTCAAAGTAAAGTTGAAATAAACATAGAAGATTATAAAAAAGATAAATAATGCAAACTTTGTAAAAACAAATCAAAGAAAACATAAAAATAATAAAAAATAATATATAATAAGATCAGTGAATGTACATGAAGATATAAAGGCCAGAAAGGTATTAAGTAACTTACATTCTTTCTAGTGGGGGAGTTGGCAAAGTGTTCTCTTCGCGTCTGACTCAGAAGTGTAGGGTGTCCGAAAATTCTTAGCGGCAGTAGGGGCTTTGAATAATATCAGTCGGTAAGACTTGGGTGAAGTAATTTATGGTAGTGGATGGGACTTGGAATTCTTGAGGGATGTATTTTGTGGAGTTCTTATCTGAGAGAGTTAAAATATTATTCTTCGTGATGATTTAACTCCAGTCCCCGTTAAAACATTATTAACATTTTGCTTTCAAATTACTTCAAAACATCTTTCAAAATATAACTTACCAGTATGGATGCACACTTTTAAAATAATTCTACTTTAATTAAACTTAGGAGATAATATAATTAATTAATCAATACTGTTTAGGAAATAAATTATTATTAACTAACTTTGCAGCAATTGCGCAAGTAATAATAACTTGTATTCGCACTAAATGGATTTAAATTCATACAACATTATATATATGATTATATATATTAAATATATGATTCCCTAAGATATATATATATATATGATTATATATATTAAATATATGATTCCCTATGATATATATATATATGATTATATATATTGTTACGAATTTGGTATTTAAAAAGCTAATGTTAGTTCAATTATAAATTAAATTGTTTTATTTCTCGCGCAGTGCAGCGCGTGACGAATATTAAAAGAAAGCTAAGCCGGAAAATTGAAAATACAAGAGCGCGTGCATTAAATAAATAAATATCTCTTTTTTTATTTCGAGAAAGTACTGGAAAATTCTAGCATGTGATTTTAAAATCTTATAAAAGGAGGAAAACATCTCAGTTTGTTGTAGTTGCTTAGTTTGTTGATGTTTAGAAAACTGCTCTTGTTGATTGTAGCGAATTCGCGGATTAGCTTTCTTTAGCTGTTTTGAATTATGTTCTATTGGACATTTGAGTAGTTAAAAGATAACTACTGTGAGATATTGTAATACTGCATGATAATTTGAGAAGATTTAAGCATTTTTATTGTGATAATAATAAATTTTTGTTCATTTTTCATCGGACTTGTGCATTCATTTCGTAACGAGCCCGTACGCACGCAACAATTTTTGGTGTCAGAAGTGGGATTTGAATGCCAATCACAAGAGCGATGGAAGAGCAGTTAAGACAGTTGATATCAGCCTTTGCTGCATTTAAAGAGGAAATGAAAACGGGTCAGCAGGAAATGAAACCGGGACAAGAAGAAAGAAGAAATGAAAGAGAGATGAATCGGTCAGGAAAAGATGGAAGCAGCTCAGAAAAAGATGGAAGAATCCGTTAAAAAGGAAAATGGAAGCCGTTCACGAATAAGTTGGAAGCTTGGTCAAGTAACTTTTAAGGACCATCACTTGGCTAATTAAAAGTTGTACAAGAAAAGATTGAAGCAGGTCAAGACGAAATGAAAAGAGAAATAACCTGCGTAATAGAAAGTAAATTTGTGGCTATGGAAGACAGAATAGGAGCTGTCGAAAATAAAGTCGGGCAAATTGAAGAAAAGGTTTCTTCTGTCAAAGATGAAATAGAAGATAGAGTGTCGGCTGTGGAGCAACGAATCGAAGGAAGAGTTTCAGCCGTCCAACAACAAATTGAAGAGAGAGTTTCTGCAGTTGCCAAAGAAATGGAAACTTTAAAAAAATTCGTAGCGACGGCAGGGAGCAAGAGTGATGATTTTAAATTCTTACCGATGCCTGCTCGTCCTTCTCTGAAGCTATCCACATATGATGGGAAGACATCCTGGCAAGTGTATAAGACCCAGTTTTCTATCGTTGCGGATGCGAATGGATGGGACTCCCAAGCTAAGGCCTGTCATATCGCCGCTTCTCTGAGAGCAGACGCAGCGGATATCCTGCAGACGCTTCCCGAAAATCAAAGGCTAGATTTCGAAGCTCTGTCCGGCGCCTTGGAGCTGCGCTTCGGCGAGAAATGTTTAAAAGACTACAGCAGGCTCCAATTAAAATCCCGTCAACAGAAGCTCACCGAAACACTTCAGGAGCTCGCCACGGATGTTGAAAGGCTGTCACATCACGCCTTTTCGGAATGCCCGACAGAAACAAGGGAAATCCTGTGCCTGCAATATTTCATCGAGGGCATCCGGGACCGTGAAAATACAGAAAGCACTGCGAATGGCGGATGTTTAAAGGATCTTGAAAAGCGCTTTAGTGTACGCCATGAAATTTGAGGCAGCCCAGCAAGCCACTCGTAGAGACCGCCACCCAATCAGAGCTGCTCATGTCCAGGAACCAAGGGATCAAGTTACTGTTCGTCTAGACGATATAACCAGACAACTCAATGACTTAAAAAGAAATAACAGTGAAAAGAAACCGACCTTAAAATGTTGGAACTGCGGTGCTGAAGGACACATACGACGACGAAACTGCAGAACACCCCAGGGTACGGATGTTAAGACCGCTCCTAACAAACATCAGGGAAACTAATTAGTAGCCAAATCGCAGGGCGAAGGTTGCCAGATAATGAAAAGCCCCAGTTTAAAGCGTTTCAGATTTCTGCAGTGAGAGGCGGCAGTAATGGACAGTAACATAATAATTCATAATAGGACATATTAATGGAGTTCCCTGCAATATCACGATAGATACAGGAGCCAACGTTACCATCATCCGAAAAGATTTGGCTCAACAACTGGGAAACAAACTTATCTGGACGCCGCCCTGCGTTACCCTCCATACTGTGTCCGGTGAGAAGATCGACATCGACGGAAAAGTAAATGTTAACATCACGTTTGGAAGTGCCGCTTACTATCACACGGCATATGTAGCAGAGATCACTGATTCTTGCATACTCGGATTGGACTTTCTAAGGAAATACAATTTTTCCTTGGACTTTAAAAATAACGAATTGCATTCTAGCATCTGAGGACATAGCGTTATTTGGAACTTAATGATGAAGAAGTTAAATCTGTCCATAAAATCATAGCACAAGACAATATCACAATACCGGCAAGAACAGAAATTTTTACTTCCTGGATCCATAGCCGAAAACAGAAATTTTCCGGCTACGGCATCATAGAATATCCCAATAACTGTAATAGCCCAAAAGGAGTACTAGTAGCCTCAACACTCGTTCGACCTATCCAGAACGGTTATCCCGGTGAGAGTCGCCAATGTAACTGAGAAGGTGAGAATTATTAAGAAAGGTGAAGTGGTTGCAGCATGTACTCCAGTGACCAACCACCGTTGAAACGAAAGAGTAACACATCCCAGAAATCCGTGTCTTCAGAAAACATTACATCAGAGTTACTTCAGAATGCGCAATTAAACGATGAAGAGAAGAATGCTGCCGATCGCGTCATTAAAGATCTTCAAGTTGTTTTCTCCCGCTCAAGTCCATGGGCATCTCCCATCGTTTTAGTCAGAAAGAAAGACGGCTCAACAAGATTTTGCGTTGACTATCGCCGGTTGAATGAGGTTACGAAGAAAGACAGTTACCCTCTTCCTAGAATTGACGACATTCTAGACACTCTTTCTGGAAGCAAGTGGTTCTCAACACTTGATTTAAAGAGTGGTATTGGCAGGTAGAAATACAGCCTGAATACCGAGAAAAGACGGCATTTACTACCGGACAAGGGCTTTGGCAATTCAAGGTGATGCCGTTTGGACTGTGTAATGCGCCGGCAACATTCGAACGCCTCATGGAGACTGTTTTGAAAGGCCTTTCCTACGAAGCCTGCCTGATATACCTGGACGACATCATCATCGTCGGAAAGAGTTTTGAAGAACATTTAGAAAATCTTAGGAAGGTGCTTCAGAAACTGAAAGAAGCCAATCTGAAGCTGAGTCCTGCTAAATGCAAATTGTTCCGAAAGGAAGTGACTTACCTGGGACATGTCATCTCTGCAGAAGGTGTGCGCACGGATCCTGAAAAGGTATCAGCGGTTAAATCCTGGAAACATCCCGAAAATGTCCATCAGCTGAGAAGCTTCCTAGGGCTTTGCACCTATTATAGGAGATTCGTGAAGGACTTTTCTTCCATCGCAAGACCCCTTCACAAGCTGACAGAGAGCAACCAAAAGTTCTTGTGGACAA